GCGCTTCACGTGCAGGTCAGGTGCAAATGTTTTAATATTTAATGTGAAAACTGGCTTTGTCTTAAGGGGGAGGGACACAAAGACCAAAATCCCTGGCTGGCAAAGTCTGCTGTTGGTAGCTCAGAATGGATCTTTTCTGGTAGTGCTGCAGAGTGCAGCAGCAGGAGAATTTCCTGCCCCTGGATCCCAGGGAGAGCACAGCAGTGCCCAGCCCTGCTTTGCCTCTGGTGAATTCAAAATAAAAGGCTTGTGGGTCATCTCCTCCCAGCACTTTGCAAACCTTCCTTGGGGTGAGGATGGAATTATTGCCTGGTGCAATCACCTCTCCGTGTGCCCAGCCCCAGAGGGAGCCAAGGTCCCAAAATGTGACACAGACTGAACCTACTCCAGGCTGCACAGGTGCTCCTGGATATCTGTGACTAAGGGTGTTCAACTGAGCCCCAGCAGCCTGTGCTTAGTTTTTAGGAAACAAGGAGTGAAGATAATCAGGGTTTCTGTCTGGGGGACAGCTCTGTTTCCCTGCCAGGGAACCCCCAAACCATTCCCTGTGTTTGCTGTACACTAAAAACTCTGCTAATGGTGTGTTAAAGAAAAGCTCTTGAATGCTGGAGACTCATTTTTGGTTGGTTGAGAATGGTTGTGCCAAATTTTTCCATCTCCCTGCCCTCTATTTATTAACCTTTCCTCTAGGAAAGGTTAATAAATCAGGGAGGGTCCCTCTGGAAGCTCAAAAGCTGCAACAATGTTTTCCAGGTAAGACTGAAGTGAGATGGCCTTTTTAGGGTTTGATGTTGGATTTTTTTTGACTAGGTCACTGATAGTTTCTTTGCTCTGGCCTTTGAAATTAAAAAAGCAGAATCACGTGTCCTTGTTAAATATTTTGCTTCTATTTTTTAACCTTTTCACAGTCACACATGTAGAGCACCAGCATGGTTTTCTCTCTTCCCAGCATGGTTTTGTCTCTGGCCACTTCAGGAACCTGGAGTGTATTTGCACAGCTCTCAAGCCAGTTTTCAGCAGAACTGGGTTAAGTGCAATCAGCAAGGCTGTGCCTTAGCAGAGCCTGGCAGAGGTTGTTCCAGGTCAGTGTGTGCACCTGAGTGGAGGCAGGAGAGTCTGTGTCACTCAGGGTGGAGTGATCTGTTGCAGTAATGCTGTCAGGCTGCTGTCACTGGTGTTCTCTGTTGGGAAAAGCCATCCTGGCTGCTCTGCAAGGATGAAAATTGGCAGCTGTGCTTGCACTGACTCAGCACACAATGCTGTCTGTCATGTGTACTCAGCTTTCCCCCTGAGCAGTGTTCTGTGCTCTACAGAGCAGAAGTGCAGTCAGTGCTGTGTTTTCCTGCAGCTCAGCCCACCTTGAGCTTCCCTTGAGTGTCAGCATTTTATCCAGGTGCAGGATCTTAAGACTGGAGGCATTTCTACCCAGATTATTTTTTTATTATGATGATTATTACTACTGTTATTATTATAATTGATAAACTGTAGCACAGGAGTTGGAGTTCTGGTTTAGTCTTCCTAATTTGAAAATAAATGAAAGGAACTCTCTTTTTGGCTCACTTAGAGGCCCAAGGCCATTAGCAAGGCTGTTTTGCAGCCTGGGATGGTGGCCTTTTGGCACTCCACTCCTAGGGCCACCAAAGGCCATGGATCTGCCAGCTGGAAACTGATCCTTGGCTTATACTGTGGATTCTGGACCTGGAAACAAAACAAAACTAAATACACACAAGCTGTCACCAGCAATGGCCCTGCTGCTGTATTTCACTTCTTGCTAAAACACTTCCAGGGATGTGAGGCTGATGGGGCTGACATTCCTTAGGGCCACCTAAAAACATGTGACTGCACATACAGACCTTGTCCCAGGGTCAGCTGTGCTTGCATTGAACAGGAACATGACAGGATAAAATTAGCTTTTTTAATCTGAGTCAGTAACTGCTGTAAAGAATCATTAAAAAGGAGCTTACTCCTTAGGAATCATCTGGGCCAAAAAGCTAAACTGATAGAATTATTGTTAGCTCCTTCTCCCTGCTGCTCCTCACAGGAAAACATTTCTGCTGCAGCCCATTCTGGGTGTGCTGGGAACACCTGGCAGGGTGAGCCCCAGCTGTAATCCCAGCAGCTGGGCATGGCCAGGCTGCTGCTCTACCCAAACCTGCTTTATCAGGCACACAGAGCTCATCTGCACCCCGAGTCTCTTCCCAAGGAGAGCCCTTCACCACCATGACCTGTTCATCAGCTGTGCCAGTGGGATCCCTGATTAAGTTGTGGAACAATCTATATGGTAATAAATCTGAATTGAATGGAGGGGCCCAGCAGCCTCTGCTTTGTTTCACATGCTGTGAACATGATGTGCTTAACTTCCTTCTGCCTTCCCAAATTAATCACAGGGAGGCAGAGCTCCTGAAATGCTTCCCCTGTACTTGCAGTCTCACACCTCTGCACAGCTACAGTAGTGACAATGAGGAAATGCTGCTTCAACAACTGCAAAAACACCAAAGCTTCAAAACCAGGCTTGAGCTGACCTGGTTCCTCCTCATCCTGTCTCTGCAAATTCTGTTTGTTCTCCTGTGTTACTTGTACCTTGAAATCCACAGTGATGGATGACCCAAACCTCAGCCAGCCCCACTCCTGGAGCAGGGTTTGCAATGGAAATGTTTATTCACACAGATTCTGCTGGAGATGCAGCAGAGCTCAGCACTGTGACAGCTCTCCATGGTAAAACTTGTGCACACTGGTATTTTCACTTGTGTGTTCCTGCAGCCACCTTGGCTTTGGTTTATTTTGCTTTATCCATGATCCAAAATTAGCATTCTTCCCATGTTTTCTGTGTATGGCACTTACTGAGGGTCAGGTGCTGGCTTATTTGGGAGGTGTGAATCACAGGGGCCTGGCAGAGTCTCAAAGGACATGTTCCTCTTCTCCACTGTGCCCTTGGTGCTGTGCCATGGAAGAGCCAATCCCAAATCCAACTCTTGCCATTTGAAAGGCTCTTTACCTCTGTTCCTCTCCAGGGGAGTTTCTCAGCATTACTAAGAATTAGTTGATTTTCTTTTGTTTCCTGGTTGTGTCCTGTTGGGATGTGTGAGATCCAGCCACGTTTGACCTCCCTTCCCAAGTTCATTGACAGAACTGGTGCTGAAATGTTCTTCCTCAGCCTTTGGCAAAGACCTCATTAACTGCTTTGTGCTGGGTGTTTTAGAGCTCTGCTCAACTCATTAGCCACTGGAATCCAAAGCCTGGAGAGCAGCAGAGCACTAAATCCATTCCAAAACCCAATGGAAAACCGTCAGCAGTTGTGCTTGGGTTCTTTTTTTACTATTTATTCTGTAATGATACACTGAATTATCAGGATTTGTGTGCCGCAGGGTGACTTTTCCAGCCATGTCCTGAGCAAAGAGTTGAATAATGGGACAGTTCTGTGAAATGGTACAACAGAACTCAACTTCCAGTTATCCTAAAATGTTGGTTGGGGGTTCTTTTGGAGCTTGCAGCTTAGGTGAAAGCTGAGGGTTGTGAGTGGGTGAACAGCTCAGGTGTCTCTGTGCCAGTATTGTCTCTGTGCAATCTGTTCCAGAGCAGCACTGGCACAGACTTGTGTCACACAATTGCTGCCTTGCTATTCCTGGCCTAAGGAACCTCAGAGTGTTGGGGAGAACAGGAGAAAACCAGAGGAGAATACTGGGTCTGAGTAACCTTGGCAGTAAAACTTGGATCTCAGAGCCAGGAATGCTGGTTCTACCTCTTGGAGGTGTTGGATGAAGTTCTCCTCTTTCACTCTGGAGCAGTTTCCTGTTGGTGTCTCAGCTGGATCCAGGCAGAATTCTCAGGGAGTCACTGATGCAGACTCTGGGGGGAGGATGTTCTCTCAGCAGAGGAGAGGTGCAGGTTGCAAACAGCACATGGCCATTCCCTCCTGTGCCAGGAGCTCTGTTCCCAGCAGCTCTCACAGCAGCTCAGGAACACAAATGATGGCAGGAATTATCCCATTAAATGCAGGGGGAGGCAATGGAAAAAATACCCTGGAAGCCTCCCCTGTGAATTTCTCAGGGAAGTTGCCCCTCAGTGCAGACTGGGTAAAACTGGGTTCAAATCTCACCCGTGTCTTCCATTAAAAACATGGATTTTTTTGAGCAGTATGGTTTGAGGGAGTGGTAAAGCTTTCCTTGTAGCAGAACTGGGTTTTCTCTTCTAGAAAAATCTTGGCAGATGGAGTACTTGTTATAACATGGGCTCTTTCTGAATGCATTTATGTGTGGAGCTTGTTATTTTAGTAAAGTTTTCCCCCATTCAGCACTGAGGCTTGTCTGTCTCTGCAGAAGAGGCTTTGCCAACTGAAACCCACTCCCCAACTGGGAAATCTAAATTGTGAACAGCTTTAAGGCCCCCACATCCACCTTGTTCAGTCACAACTAAGTAAACAAGTACAGGAGCACAGCATGTACCCACTAACACTGCCTGGACCATAAATCAGCATCCAGTTGTCTCAGGGACCTCAACACCATATTTTTCTGGGTTGAACACATGTTGCTGGACAGACAGATCATTACTCTTGGCTGGAAAAAGGGCTTGCCACCCAGGCATTGATGTTTGAATGACTTTTGTTTCCTGTGCAGAAGCCAAGATGTAAAGTACCTTGTGAGTTCTGCTTTACCCTGTTCATCACAGACCTTTCCCTAAAAAGGGGAAGAAAAGTCCTAAAGCAGATGGTTTCTGCTTCCCTCAAAATTAAGCTCATGATTCTTTTCAGTTAAGGGGGGGAAAAGAGGGGATTAGAATTATGGCTGATGCCAGAAACAGGTTTTGGAACATAAGGTGTGATTTCCAAAATCCCTAAATGCCTCAGTGCAGTCCTGCTGAACAGTCTCTTGCTTAATTCCAGCTGAAAGGGCAGTCCAGCCTCATTACCATTAGCACAAAAATGCTCTCCAGAATGATCCCAGGAATTTCCTGCATGCAAATGCCACCCTCACCATGCCCAGGGGAGGAAAGGGGACAGGACAGGAATTGCAGCTCTATTTATTATCCAACTGGAATTACATGTTTAAAAATGCTCCCCTAGACATGAAGCTCCCAGAAAGTAAGAAGGTGCTACTGCTTCATTTTATAGAAGAATTGGTTCACTGTTGTATAAGCTTTTCATAAAATATATATTTAAAAGAAATCCCTTCACAGTACCTCCAAGAGCAGTATGTGCTCCCTGTGTGACACTTATCCTAGCAAAGCATCATAGGACAAAAATCTGCCTTGAATTAAAGTTTTGGGGCTGCAGTGAAGAATTTGCAGCCCCTGCCCACCCCTACTCTGCAGTCCTCACCTCTTCTTCCCAGGCACTCTGTAGGCTGCAGGAACTTTCAGTGTAAGAAGTTAAATGTGAATAAAAATCTCTGCACTGTACCTGACTGACATTGCTTCTTGTCTGGTTTGTTTCAATTTGCCAGTGCTCTACACAAACTTTAACTCTGTTTAACTCCTGGCAGGAGGGAATCCTTACAGAAGTGCTGCCCTGGGGCTGAACTGACACAAAACCCAGCAGGAAGGACACCTGAGAGGGGAAAAAAAAAGCCACATTAAAATGAGCAGTCTTTTTGGCTATCAGAACCCAGGGGAAAGTGAGGGGTTCTACTCTTTCAGTGCTCTCCAGGGAGCAGGAGAGCAGCTGAGCTCCTGGCTGGGCTCTAAAGATGCTTTAATGTCCTTTGGATAAGAGCAACAAAGCACAGCTGAAGGCTGGGATGTACCCAGAGCCCTGCTCATGCTGCCTCCAGGATGTTTCCATGAGTAACCTTCCTCTCCTGGCTGGTCATTATGGAGGATACAGTCCAGCAGTGCAGAACCAAAAGCAGGAAATACATTGTCAAACAGCTGGGGAGCTTCACCAGCCAACACAGAGCCCTGAAGCCTCAGTTTACTGGTTCTTGATGCAAACTCAGCTGCTCACCAGTTCAGCCACTGGAAGGGTTTGATTCTCCTCACCATCCAGGATCCTAAATCACTACTGCTGGCTTTGCTAAAGGCCCTTCTGGAGGACTCACACCCAACCTGTGCAGAGTTGTGACTGCACTAAGAGTAGCTAGACAGAAACCTCTGGTCACTGCAGTGGCTCCTAGGAACCAGGCAGAGCCCACAAGCTAAAATCACTGCTAGGGAACAGCTCCACCCAGACTGACAGAAGAGAAGCCACCACGGGGCAGGGTGGGGCAGGTCCCTTTCCCCAGTCCCAGGCAGCCCTGGAGAGGCTCCTGCACTGCCTGTGCTGCCCAGAGCTGCCCTACTCTGCTGCCTCCTGGCTCTGGTGCTTCTCCTTCCCCTGCTCCTCGTCCCCTGTGGGGGCTGAGTTCTCCTCAGGGCTCGTTTCTGAGTCCTGCTCCTGTTCTGGTTCCAGAGGCAGGGAGGGACGCTTTTTTGGCAGAGCTGGTGTTGCAGCACCTGGGGAGAGAACACAGTTAGAGTTACTCTGTGGCCATGTGTGTGTTATCTGCTCTTTATGTCCTTCCCAGCAGCAGAGGTGCAAAACAATCACAGCTTTTAATTACCCTCAGATTCCTTCTGCCTAACATTGGTTAATTGAGTTATCCAGACCTTACAGTGCCTGAAGTCCTGCTGAAAGGCAGCTCAGGTACAGTCTCTCAGCTGTCAGAATTCAGTACAAATGTAGGAATGAACTCATGCTCTAGAAGGGAAAACATTTTCTAGAATCACAAATCTCAGAATGGTTTGGCTTGAGAAGGACCTTAAAGCCCATCCCATTCCACTCCCTGCCGTGGCAGGGACACCTTCCACTGTCCCAGGCTGCTCCAAACCTCATCCAGCCTGGCCTTGGGCACTGCCAGGGATCCAGGGGCAGCCACAGCTGCTCTGGGCACCCTGTGCCAGGACCCCACCACCTCACAGGGAAGTGCCACTTCCAGTTCCACTGAAGCTGGTTTATGCTCAAGCTGCAGCCCCAACCAAAGTGTTGTTTTCACTTCACAGCTTTAGTAAATATGGGGAAAGTTTCCAGGCAGCTAAAGTAGCTACTTAAAGAATTAAATCACAACAGGACACAAGCTGTTTCTACACTTAGATTCAAGGTGCCAACTGATGTTATGAACCAGCTCCCTTCTCTGATCTGGATAATGAAGTCCTTCAGGTACACCCTAAACCCTGGTGTGTTTTATTTTTCAGATTTTCTGGCTAAGTCTTCCCTGCATGGAAAGTTTATTCCATGTGTGAGAAATGGAACAGGTCCTTAGGGATGCCAAAGAAAGAGGCCTGGATTACACAACCACTCTCCTGGTTCAGTCCACAGGCAACAAGACTGAGAGTGACAGAAAATCATCACAACGAGCAACATCTCCAGTGCATTCCTCCTTGGAAGCTGAGGGGTGAGAGGAGGTCAGCCTGGGAATGGCTCAGGAGCTGCTCCTACCCAGCCCCAGCACATACAGAGATGGGCTGAGCCTGCAAAGGCTCACACCACCCCCTGAGAACCCTCAGTCCCACTAAATCCAGCAACACCTGCAAGGATGGGCAGCTTTGGAGCAATCCAGCTGCAGGATCATTGTCAGAGAAATGATGGAAGTACTTTGGAAAATTGTCCATCTTTTCCCTTCTCTGCAGCAACCTCTGTGCAAGGCAGCTCCTGGGCTCTTGCAAAGAAAGCAAGAGGTCTGGTTGCTGAAACTGCTTCCTTTCCAGAGCAAGACCACAATCTCATGCTAATGGAATCTTCCCTGTTGAGGCTCAGACAGGAAGGGAAACTCTCCCAGCCACCCACATCCCTGCAAAAGCAGGAGAGTGAAATACACTACAGAGAGCATCTTCCTGAGCTCAGAAATCTGGGAAAGTTATCACCAAATATTGCCCTCACTGCTGTGTGAGCGAGTCAATCCCATCCCAAACAGGTGCTGTAACTCTTCCAAAGGGAAGAGAGATTTATTTTCTTCTCTCCCACATTTATACTTGAAAGAACAGCAGAGGAGATGTACCTGGGGGGAGCTGCATGGTTTTCCCATACCCTGCAGCAGAGGACATGGCTTGACCCAGGGCCTGGTTGGATCCCAAAGGCTGCTGAGAGCTGGATTTCCCTGACACAGCAGCCTTCTGCTTGGATTTGGACTCTTTAGAAGGCTTGGTCCAGACCAGGCTCTCCCCGACCTGCAGGGCAGCCCCCATCTTCTGGGCCATCTCCACCATCTTCTCGAGAAGAAAAAGAGAAGAGCACTGTAAGCAGGGACACTTCAGATAACAATAAAGTCAACAACACCATCCAAAAAAAACTACAAGAAAAGATCTGTGGAGAGCTGGCTACAGTTTGGTGCTTGGGGGAAACATCTCCACTAATTCAGTCCCTTAATTAAGAGGGAACCTTGTCTTGCTGTGTATTGATTGAAGAACTGGGCTTCAAAGAGCAGAAAGGAAGTGAGCAGCTCTCAGCAGGCGCTCGCTCCGCTTGGAAAACCTCATCAGCACAATTTCCTCCTAATAACTGCACTCAAAGTCAAACCTCCTCCTCATCTGCTGCCAGCCCTGGGGGGGCTCCTGAGCCCAGCACAAACCTCAGGGTCGAAGTCGGGCGTGCTGCTCTCCCTGGCCAGGCTGACCTTCCTCTCCATCTCCCGGTACTGGCCCAGGGCCCCCTGCTTGTCGCCCTGGTTGTAGAGCAGCACGGCGTAGTTCAGGTTGATGAGGGGGTTGCACCTGCAGCAGACACATGGGATGCATCACATTTCCTGGGGGAACACTTGTCCTGGCTGCAGTAATGCTAAGGTGTGCCCAAGCAAAGCTGGACACGCCTCATTGTGTGGCACCAACAGAGAGGCCACAGCCAAAGTCCTTTGGGAGCATGGCCTGATGACAGCCCCAGTGCTGGGCTCCGCAAAGGCCCTGGGTGTGGGTGCCAACAGAACCCCCCTCCTCACTGCCTCCCCCTCTGCAGCAGCCAGTTCTGTGCACCTGGGGGCAATCCTGGGACTCTCTGGTGTCCCAGCCTCACCAGTGATGGGGCTTTTGTCACACTGAGACAGATGAACTTTCTCTGATTTACCCCAGACTCTCCCAGCACTCCCAGCCTGCAGGAGAGCAGCTCATCATGGGACAGGCAGTGTATGTCTCTGCCCTGCTCTTGGGTTCTATTTTATAACCTGACACAACACAGAATGTGCTGTTTACATTTCATTTCCTCACCTCCTCTCTCTCCTACCCCAGAAAACCACACACAGCAGCAGTTACTGCTACAGGTGAACACAGGCACCTGCTCCCTTCCTGAATGAAGGTTTCACAAGGCAGAACTGCTCACACACTCTCATTTCCCAAAGGATCCATCTCCTTCACTGGGACACACCAACCCTCTCCAGGAGGGCCAGGGTGGGTGAGCAGCTCTGCCTGCTCACAGCTCCCTGTGTGCACCCCACAGGAGCTCCCTGCAGCCAGGCCAGGCAGGGATGCTCTGAGGCTCCCTGTGAGTGAGGGACTGGTGCCCTCTCCTGGAGCACGGCTGGGATAACTGGAACCATCCACGGCCAAGGCTGAGGGAACACCCTCTGCAGCAATGCAGAAGGGAAGGATCCTGTTTGCACTGGACAATAAATGAAGTGTAACCTGCAGGCCCTGACTCTCCAGTCCTGGTGACTCTCCATCCCAGTGCAAGGAAGGAAACTCTTAGAAGAAATCCCACTGCATTGATAACCATGGCTTCTCCTTTAACTAGGAAACTGGAATGCTGAGCCCACCACAGAATAAGCCCTCCTCCCCATCTTTGCCAGAACACTGAGATCACACAGTCCTGGGAACAGCCAGTTTTAAAATTAATTGAACTTGATGGAGCTATTTCACTGCCTTCAAGAGCTGAGAAGCAATATGACAGTCAGAGAAAAATCAATAGCTGAATACCCACAGAAAGGACAGTCACAAGCCAGAACCAGGAGTGGAACATATTTTTCTAAATAGTTTTCCAAGTTATTTCCATTCCAGCCCCCAGCATGGCACCCAGGCCACTACAAAAGCATTCCTGCTGATGGAAACCAACCACCTTCATCCCAAACAGTCAGAACACACCAGCAAAGGAAACTTGTGGGGACACAGATTCAGCCTCACAGTCTGGATGTTCCCCCCAGCAGGCCCTGGAAGGAGGAATTCATTCTTGCTTTGATGAGGGTTTATTTTCCTGCTCAGACCATAGAGGTGGAGCATTGCCCAAGTGCCAAACACTTGGGGGAAGTTGTAGAGCTCTTTTCCTGCTCACAAGGCCCTGACTAAGGAGTCTGAGCTGCCTTTAAGGTCCTGTCTTGCCTAGGAATAGATTAATAGAATGGTTTGGGTGGGAAAAGACCTTAAAGCCCATCCAGTGCCACCCCCTGTCATGGGCAAGGACACCTCCCACTGTTCCAGGCTGCTCCAAGTCCTGTCCAGCCTGGCCTTGGGCACTGCCAGGGATGGGACAGCCACAGCTGCTCTGGGCACCCTGTGCCAGGGCCTCTTCATCCTCACAGAGAAGAATTTATCCCCAGAATTTATCCTGGTGTCCCATCTACCACCACCTTGTGTGGCCCCTGCAGATAGAAGTGCTTTTGGCACTGCTCTGTCAGCTGCAGACAGACTCTGGAGTGCTGGTAGGTCTAAGTGTGCAAATATTCACAGTAAACTGGGGAGAGAAACAAAACTATTAATAAATATGAGGTAATTTTGATTTTGTGCCTGAAATGACGACATACTCTGAGGTTCAGCTTAATATTTCTGAAATCAAGTGCTCTAATTTTAAGATACAAACACAGATGTTTTTAATGAAGGAGCTGTCTTTTTACTTGCTTTATACAAACTTCTTGCACATTCTCCCAGCTAAAATCTTCCCTCTGCCCAATTCAGAACAGGCTCAACCCCAGACATCTAACTGTTCTGCACTGTGCTCAAACTTTGGGTTAAAAAACATGTTTTCTTCTATTCAATCTGCTCCACTGTGTATAAATATTCACCAAAAGAGGACTGGCATCCAAAGTCATCACCAATGACTCACTAACCAAACAGCAAAACAAAAAACAGCTCTGGGTTGCTCTAAAATAAAATCCTCTCTCATTTTTCAGAGCTGACTTGAATTAAAAATTTAAAAAAAAAAAGTTTTAACACTGCCACTTGCACAGCTACAAGAATAAAAGTATTTCCCTACTACAAAAGTATTTCCCTACTACTATTTAGGGTCGAGGTACAGTGAGAGGCAAAGGAAATGAGGTGCAGGGAGGCAAAGCAAGGCCAAACAAGAGACAGCTCTGACAAAGACTCACTTGTCCAAGGCCACAGCTTGCTCATAGGAACACTTGGCGTTCTCGATGTCCTCAAGGTTGGTCAGAGCAACTGCACCAAACACACAGGAGGAGAAGTTTCACAGCTGATTTTTAGGACAATTCTGAATGTCATAAAATAGGTGTCAGCTTGGTTCTGGACTGCTGCCAGGATCAACCCTACTGAATGGAATGGCCTGGGTTGGAGGTGTCCTTAAAGCTCATCCAGCCTCAGCCCTGCTATGGACAGGGACACCTCTCACTGTCCCAGGCTGTTCCAAGTCCTGCCCAGCCTGGCCTTGGGCACTGCCAGGGATCCAGGGGCAGCCACAGCTGCTCTGGGCACCCTGTGCCAGGGAAGGATTTCTTACCAATATCCCATCTAACCCTACAATGTGAGTTCTGACATGTTCATCTCATTTCATCCCAAAAATATCCAGTGCTGGAAACCCACATCCACTCCTAAGGCAACCCAACCCCAGTCTCACACGTGTCAAGTCTTTTCCAATGTTCAATCTGGACCTGACTGCAGTTTTCCCTTCTATTTCCCCAGAGAGAAGAGACTGGGAATCAGCTCCTTAGTAAAGCCTTTATGGGATGTTTCTCTGCTTCACCCCACACCTGCTGTCTGTGCTGTGGTGTTCCCAGAGGGATGCACAGGGAGCATCCCATACCTGCCAGGAGCATGTAGAGCTCTGCCATCTTGGGCTGGAAGTTGATGGCAGCACTGAGGAAGTGGAAGGCTGAGGCATACTGCTGCATTGTGAGGTGCACCAAGCCCAGGTTGTACAGGATCTTCCAGTCAAAGGGAGCCAGGTAGTTTGCCCTCTTTAGGCAGCTGACAGCCTTGGGAAAAAAGGAATAAATGTGTCTCCACATGACAGGAATCTTGTGCTTGCATGAAATTGAATGCAGATGGCAGAATAAATGGAAACTGGATACTTACTGCCACGTATTTCTTCTTCCCAAAGAAGCACATGCCAATGTTGTTCCAGAGTGGGGGGCTCTCAGGAACACTGCTGGCCACCACCTTGTACTTGGAGAGGGCGACGTCGAAATCCCCGTGGGCCTGCATCATGCTGCCAGCAGCCAGGGTGGCCTGGGGACAGGGAACAGTGACCCATCACAGCCCCATCTGCTCAACACAGCCAGAACATGGGAGGACAAAATGATTAAACTAAAACCATCCCAGGAACAACCATCGCACTTCTAAGGACTGCCAAGAGCAACAGTGGGAGCAGATGGGGATTCTGGAATCTCCCACCACAGAGCAGAACACAGGGTGAGGAACAAACCTGAGTCTGCTTCTCCCTGCACTGTTTTAATCATAACTGTCTCAGAAATGAGTTTGCCCAGAGAAGCTGTGGCTGCCCCATCCCTGAAGTGTCCAGGCCCTGCTGATGGGGCACCCTGGGACAGGGGGAAGGTGTCCCTGCCCATGGCAGGGGTGGAACAGGATGGGCTTTGAGGCTCCTTTCAAATCAAACCATTCTGTGAGCCTGTGATTCCATAAGTACTGCAACACAACACTGCAAATGTTTAGGGTATTTTTTGGGCTGACAGAACTACTTCTTAAGGAGTCTGAGGCTCTGAAAAGATCTATGCACGAATAGATTCTTTTTACAACCAAGCACAAGAAGTAGTTCTGTTGCAAGTGGGGAGTAAAATGTACTCAAGCAAGGCATGCAGCACAGCTCTCCTAGTTCACACTGATACTGGAAATTAATGGCAATATGCATGGGGAAAAAAAAGGAAGTGAGTACAGCACACTATATTTAAACCACACTAGTTAAGTCCTTTTTAAGATTTCACAGTGACAAGTAAAATTCATAAGTGTAAAGGTGTTTTCACAACAATTCATGTTTGTCAACCCCACATTTCAATGCTCTGCATCACTAACAGGGAAAAAAAGGAGAGAAATGAAGTAACAGCCCTAAAAAGGGAAGCAGTTTCACAATGAGGAATGGAACCCAGGCACCAAGCTCAGCTTTGCAGGCCAGAGCCAAGGAAACACACACAGCAGCTGGAAGCACAGGGTACCAGCAGATGGGAGAATAATAAAATGCAGAATCACTTGGATCACAAGGGACCTGGCACAGCTCTTCTGGGATTTTTAAAATCCAGCAGATCTTCCTTCCAAAGTAAATTCCACCTGGCTTTGGTGTAACTTCACATTAAAAACCAAAGGGATCAATTTAACATCCCACATTCTGTCTCCTTCCCTTTCCCTACCTCCCTACCCAGGGAAAAATCCCAAAAATGAATTTCACAAAAAGCTCTGTGGGCAGGATCCTTTCCAGCCTCTCCAGGCCCCAGATGCAGATGGCAGAGCTCTGACAGTGGGATTAGCTTTAGGAGGTGTCCCCTCATGTTTCAGCTGGGTCATTTCCACTCCTCACCCTACCTTGTAGTTGCCTGGGTCGTAGGTAAGCACATTTCCAAGGTGTTCAAAAGCCTTCTGGTACTCCCCAGTCTGGGAAAAGAAGTACATAAGCATCAGAAATTCAGCAATAGGGGGAGTTAAGAAGGAGAATACAGGGTTTGTAGGCATCAGAATGTCTGGTTCAGTCAGAAAAGTGAGTTTTACAGTGTCCCATCACACACACATGTTCCTGTTTGATAATTCACAGAACAGATTCTAAGAATTTGACTTGGCTGGAGTCACTGTTCTGACCCAACCACAAATGAGCTCTGGGTTCACAGGTCTCTGCTCCTTTCTCTATCCCAGAAAACAGTCTGCAAACTGCTACTCTGCACATCCCCAAGTCCCTCACCACAAATTCCTCACTCCCCAGGGCTCTCCTGCCCAGGGCACCTCCCTTCCCTTGTCTGCTCATGCACTGAAGGTGTCAGTGGGCATCACTGTGGCCATGTATGAGCATGTGAGAGTTGGAATCACTTAAATCCTACACACTGCAACCACATAAGCTCTAAGGTCCCTTCCAAGCCATCCTGTGATTTTGTGGTTTCAACTGAATTCACCTAAATCTCATCTCATTCCATGCCATGGGCAGGACACCTTCCACTGTCCCAGGCTGCTCTACGTTCCATCCAGCCTGGCCTTGGGCACTGCCAGGGATCCAGGGGCAGCCACAGCTGTGCCAGGGCCTGCCCACCCTCACAGCCAGGAATTCCTTCCCAATATCCCATCCATCCCTGCCCTCTGGCAGTGGGAAGCCATTCCCTGTGTCCTGTCCCTCCATCCCTTGTCCCCAGTCCCTCTCCAGCTCTCCTGGAGCCCCTCCAGGCCCTGGCAGGGCTCTGAGCTCTCCCTGAGCCTGCTCCTCTCCAGGTGAGCACCCCCAGCTCTCCAGCCTGGCTCCAGAGCACCCTCAGAGCAGCTCAGGGCCTCCTCCTCCTTTCAGGCACCACTGCCTATTCTTCTTTGCTTGCTCACTCTTTGGGAAGCCAGCTTCTGGAATAATCCAGCCCTTCCCACCCATTTCACAGACAGAGGATAAGCACACCTTTGTTATTTAAATTGATTCTGATTCTCCTTTATGGTGCATTAACACTCACAATTTCATGGCTGCTTTTTCAGGATAACTTGCAAGACTCCTGCTGCAGAAGCAAGGTAATGACTAGTCATGTTTTGTTATACTTGGAGGATTTATCACAGAGTTAGGGCTGTTGCCAAACAGAATTCCTGCTCTGGCTCTGGTCCAGGGAATCAGCTTGCTTTTAGCAGCAAAGACAAGATACAGAAAAGCAAGTTCTGTCCTGTTAAATGCAGTCTGTACAGAAACATGTGCAAGCAACGGGAAGGTGGATAGAAATTAACTCTATAAAAAGTCCAGCATGGTTATATTGACAATAATTAAGTTTTTGTAACAGTAACAGCAGTTAGTACCTGCAGGTACAGTAGGCCCAGAGCTGTGAGGAGATCTGTGTTTTCTGGAGAAAACCTGGAACACAAAAGCCAAAGGGCTGGGTTTGCTTTTCAGGCTTCTAGAACAGGGTGAAAATAGAACATGGAATTCTGATGCTACATTACTGGTGTATCAATCCAGGAAATTAAACAGTTATTATTAAAAACAAATATTACAACTGCCATCATGGGGAGGTCCTTTGAATAACATCACACCTCATCTACACAAATATCTTCTGGTATTGGTGGGAAGGCACAAGGCTGTGTGAAATACATCTGGACACATAATAAGATAATGTGGTTTTGTTAAGCTTCAAAGTGAGTCTGAATCAGTGACCTGGAAATACCAAATGAGATTTTCCATTGTCTCTCATAAACCACCCTGTAAATCCATCCATCCTAAGCCTCTTGGGCCGTGTAGGACAGGCAATCCTCAGCATTCCTGATGGATCCTACACACTCCTCATCAGAATTTTAATTCACCTTATAAAAAGATTACAAATAAATAGGATGGAAACCACAACAAAAGAGGACAAAGCAGAGAGAGACACAATTTGTGGTCTCACTCACCTCAACAGCAGTCAGTTTTTATTTCCCTGCTACCAAGACTTAAAAAAAAATCTGACCTGCACACTCACACTGGCACCTCTAAACTTCAACCACAACAAAACCACCTGTGCCTGGTGGAATATAAACAAGGAATAACAGACTATCCTGGAGCTGGAAACAGCAAGAAAAATGTCATAGGCAGATGAGAACAAAAAAACCCCAGGAATAAACAGGAATGAAGAAGAAAGGAGGGCAGGGGAGCACCAGGATAAGAATATAAACCTGGTAAGATGCTTAGCAAGGATTATTTACGTAATAAACATTCTAGATTAGTCCAAATGCCTGCCCAACCCCACCCACCCACCCCGAGGCAGCAGTGAGGGCAGACATGTAAGGAAACACTGCAACAATACCCCTGTGGTCCCAACACACTCCTGATTTTCTTCCTAGTGCTGGCCTCCATGGCAAAGCCACATTTGAAAGCACTGGGAATGCCCTAAAACAAGGATAGGTGGGCACTGAGGAGCAGTGATGGGATGGGAGAAACTCCCTGGGCACCAGCACATTTCCTCAGCCACAAACTGCTCTGAGGGAAAGCAGCAAGTGACACCCAGGCAGGGATTTTGGATGGACAGGCAGGGTTACATTGTTTTGGGAGATAAACCTTTGGGATGGATGAAGTCAGATTTGGATCACTTTGCTCCCAGGCATCTCTGTCCATTTGTTATTCCAGTTTTTTCTGGCAGCCCTTCCAACAGCTCCCTTCTTCCCTGCCACACTGTCAGCAGGAGCAGAGACAGCTGAAGTGCTTGGAAGTGCCAGCTTTGCTCAGAGCCCCTGTAATTACCATTAGCTTTTTAATCATGGCCTCAATTCAGATCTGGGACACCAATCAATTTTCTCCTGGCATAGGATGGGAATGGGCAGATGGAAAAAAGGGATATTTCTTACTCTACAGCTTTCTTATATACTTCAATGGCTTTATCCACCTCCCCCTCCAAGAGGTGAATTTTGCCCAGCATCATGTAGGTCAGGTCGTGTCTGTTGAGCTCCAGGGCATTGTTGAGCTGGTCTCGTGCCTAAAAACACAACCACAGAGAATAAAAAAATAATAAATGATTACAGAGCCCTCAGCAAAGCAACAGCCCATGAGCAATCCCCAACAGCCAGGGAAGAAGGACAGCCAACAATCATCCCCTGCACCTGGAGAACACAAACCCCAGCCCAGCTAATCCTTGGAACAAACTCTGCACCAGCAGCCACCTGCTTTTTGGGGCAGTAAAAGGCAACACCTCCCAGCCAAGCAAGAGGCAATGGCCTCCCAAGGAGGGGATCAGCATGGGCCTGCTCCTGGATTTGAGTTTGTTTGGCTTGAGGGACTCTCTGGATTTGTTGGGTAAACTGATACTTTGCAGCTTATTCTTCCTTAAAATGCTTATTCCAGCAGTCAGGAAGTGAAAGTCTCAGTGGAGGTGTGAGCAGGTCCCAGTTTGGAAGGTGTTGGTGCAGACAAATCCCAAGTGTGAACCCACACTGCAGAGGCTGTTTTTTCACAGGGATGCCTTGAACAGGGAGCACAGCTGGGCTTTGCTGCAAGGGCCACAGCACCCCACCAGCAAGAGCAGCAAGGAGGACTGGGCCACACTGGGAACAAACAGGGTTTAAATGTTGCTTTTTCCCTTAGAGCAGCTGGATCAGAGACAGCTCAGTGCTCACCACCAGCACTCAGGGGATGGTTAAGTGAGGAACTGGGAATGACACACTCAAACTCGGGAATAAAACTGCATTTCAAACTCCAAAACTCCTTTACTAACTCCAGGTGTAATTCAAAAGGAGCTTCAGACACAGGAGCAAAACCTTCCCAGGGAGGAAAAAAGGACCTGCTGCACCTCCAGCAAACAGCCCCACAACTCTTTCCCTCTGAGTCCTGCCAGATCCAAGGAGAAGAGGTTCCCTTCAGGAACTCTCTGCATGAGGTGCAGCAGTTTGAGCTGGGGAAATGGTTTGGGGTTTTACCATCACCCTTCTCTTGCTTCAAGAGGATGGACCTGGATTGCTGCTCCTACAAAGCCAGCAGTGTTCCTGGGTCTGCCTTTAAAGGGCTCAGACACAGAAGCAGCTCTTACTGGAGCACAGCCCATTTTCTGTCTAGTTTGAGGTTTCTCCAACATGCCCTTTAAAACCAGAAATGTTCTCTGAAAAATCTTAGATTTCAGAAAAAGCCTCTGATCCTGCCACAGGCTGATCTCCCTTTACACAACCTCAATGACTTGCAGCTGACTCAAAGTAATTAAACACACAAATGGAAACAGAGAGCTCACAAACCTTTGCTCCCAGAAACAAAACACTGAAGCAAAAAACTTTCTTGATACCTCTTGCTGCAAATGATCCATTTCAAGCTATCAAAGACAGTGAAATTTCTGGGATGCTTCCTTGCTTCCCACTGACATTACCTTGTTGAAGTGTTTCAGGTACATGTAGCACACACCCAGGTTGTGGCTGATCTCCTGCATGAAAAAAGCCAAATCAGCACAAGGTATGAAATAAAATCTGACAACACTGACCCAGAGAAGGAGAGCCCTGACTGCCCACACCCTTCTTGCTTTTTAGAGCAAGTAAAACTATAAATTCCAGTTACTTCAGGCACCTACAGAGCTTAAGTGGGGTTGTACAGAGAACGTTACAGTCCACTGAGACAAAAACCACAGACATGACAAATCTCTTTTGAGACATCAGACATTTTGTTTTCAGAGAACAAGGAGCACAGACTGATTTCTTCATCATGGTGTCACCCTCTAAAACTTGCTGCCCTCATGGGTGACTCAGTTTGGCTGTACATCAGTAGGATATGCAGTGTCCAACCCAGCTGGACAGAACTGGAAAATGTGCTTAATTTTCCAAAACACAACTTGAGCACTGGAATATCTGATATCCCTCTGGCATCCTAAACAATTTGAACAAGGTAGGGAGATCCCTTAGGGATCCTAAACACTCTGGTGACAGGGAGCATCCCTGCTCCTAACTCCTCACCCAGTTTAACACACAAGGCACTTTTCCCAGCCCAGCATATCCCTGAAAAGCAAGGTTCTCCTAATTTCTTATTTTATTCTGGTGAGCATTTCACTGATTCATCAGCTGAGACAGCCTTGACCTTTGGAAACTCTCTTACTTCCCCATCAACCTGTTTTCCTCCAGGCAGCCTCTCCAGCTGTGTAGAACTGAATCAGTGACTCCAGGCTGCTGCAGACTGCAGAATGAGGGAAGAGCACAGTCTGATTCTGCTTCCAGTGCTGAGCCAGGAATGGGGAATAACTAATCAAAATACCCACTGGCATCTGCCTGCTGGGTTGTAAATAGGGTTACAAGCGTGCCAAGCACTGGAAATGCAGGTGGAAAAAAGACTTGTGATACAAAAGGTTTCTGAGTTGTCTGGCACAGAGTAATCTGAATAACACCAAAGCTATCCTTGTATCCTGAATTTTGGATGTACAGACAAACAAAGGAATGAGCTCACACATTGCAAGCCTACTTTAGAAACACTTCTGCAGGCAAAACAGGCACCTGCAGAAGGCTGCAAGGGATGGCCTCTCCTTCACCCACTGTCACACCCTTCCCTTTTCAATGCTCTTTCCCTCTTTTTGTCTTTTTATACAGAAGAGCTAATTTAATCACTGCTCATGTATTTTCAACAATGCTTTGCATTACAAAAGCTTTTCCAATTACTCAAGCAAGTTTTAATAACTGAGGTTTCCAAACTCTCCCCATATTTCCCTTAAAGCACAGATGTGGTTATGTTAAAACTGATCCTTGGCCAAGTTCCAACACACTGCTCAATTCTCTGTGCCCCAAGCCAGGGATTTGCCCCAAGGTGTGGGATTTGGCTCCTGTGATCCAAACCAGGCTCAGACCACAGGCAGTGTGAGCTCACCTTGGTCTAGGACAAGTTTGCAGCTGTTACAAGGATCTGCAACTCCCTGAACACTCACCCAGTCCTTCTCATCGAGTTTTGCTGCTTCATTGTACACTTCGATGGCTGCCTTGTGCTTCCCCAGGAGAAACCTGCAAAAGGATTGCAATTCTTATGTCTTTCCTGTTTTCAGACCCTGCTGTGCAGCCACTATCACCTTTGCCAGTGAGAAATTATCTTATTTGCTGCATCTCCAGAGATCTGCAGGACAAGTTTACAATCTCAGCACTGCTCCCTCTCAGGACCAAGGTCCTCCATCCTGACACTACTGGGGATGTAAGGAATGAATGCCCAGGCTCTGCAGCCTGCTTTTGTCTCCAAAGAAAGGGACAGATGCCCTAACACAACATTCAGCAACAGAAAAGGGTCTGTAGGGCAAGCCTGCCCAGCTCAGGTCAGCACCTGTAGCTCTGGACCTTGAAATCAGTATCACCTTTCTGCCTGAAGCCCAAAGGAAAAGAAAACACAAGAGCAGCCAGGCAGATAACAGAGATTCTGCTTAAAGAACAACCCACGCTTCTGGAAGCCAAGCCAAGTGTTGATAAGGAGGAAACATGTCTGGAATTAAGCAGCCTAAGAGAAAAACAAAGCATGGAAGGTCCTGGGTGGCACATCCAAGAGAAACAACAAATAAAACACCACTCACAGGGATCGTGCCACCTGCTTGAGGTTGTCAGCGCTTCGAGGGTTCAGAATGGAACATGTCTGGAAAAGTTCAAGAGATTCTTGAATTTTCCCCTCCAAGCGAAATATCAAAGCTGTAAAACAACAGACAGCAGGGAAATGAATCCATTCTCAGCAGGAAAAACGTGCCTCTGAGAGCAGGGAAAGAAGGGAGAGTACAGATCTATCACATCAACGCTCCTCTGGTGCTTTCCCCTCCTGCAGCACCCACAGTTTTGTGTCTGAGGGCAGCACTCTGTGTGCCTGGAGAAATTCAGGGGTCAGAACAAAAGCTTTAAGCTTTAAACCTCGGGCAGTTGCTTGTACAGATGCAGTCTGGATTTCTCCCCACCCCAGCCTCTTCAGCATGTCCCTGCCAGCAAATCTCCACTGTCCCCCACCGTGGCATTTGGAATTGGAATGTCACATTCTGGGAGACATTTTTTAGGGGTCAGAGGGCAGGGCAGGAAGAGGAACACCATCCTTAGAGCAAGGAGTGAAACAATGATCATCTGGGGTGGATAACAAAGAGAAAACAGAAGCAAACTCACACCAACACACTGAGGGCCAGGAATCTATAACCCAAAGAAGAACTGATGACAAATACAGAGAAAACAGGACGTTTAATCTGCCCATTTCATGTGAAAATCCTAAATTTCAAAACCAAATGGAGCAGACACAGGGAAAAAAAATGTACTTTTGATATAACAATTCTGTTTCCCTCACTTAACCCCTGTATTGTTCTCTGTATCTCAAATCAGGGGTGACTTGCTTTAGCAAAAAGATTTTCAGACATACCTTGAACATAGACAGCATATTCACAGAGCCCTTGGGACTCCTGGAGCTGCTCTTTGATGACAGCCTGGAAGGACAAAATTGTAAACTCACATCATTTTAACAAAGCTGATTCCAGAGATTTGGTTCCAGTCACAAAAACCACAACCCCACCTCTAACAGGGGCACTGGACCATGACTGGGACAACCACACAGTGCACACAACAGAGCTCTGTGCCAGGAACACTGTGGCCCTTTTAGTATTCCTCTGTTCATTCCTATTCCCAAAGACAATTAGGTACTACCTGGGGAAAACGCCAGGAGGCATCTCTGAAAGCATCCTCTGCTGATAAGGGTGTCTACCCCAGGCCCTTTGTGAAGGAATAAATTGAACTGGAGCAACTGCAGCTGGGTGAATGAAAGCCAAAAGAACAAATGAGGAGTGAACAGGGAAAAAAACCTGATGAAAATGTAAATTCTTGCTGGCTTCATCACACAGCTCCCAGTTTGGGGTGGGCTGGCTGCAGCTTGGATATAATCCACAGTCACAACTGGTCCCACCTTTGGGAGGATGAACACCCTGGATAGGAATCAAGAGCATAATTTCTGCTCTGAGACTCCTCTTTTGTGCAGAAGTGGAAGAATACAGGGGGTAAGAATAATTTCTGGGTGAGCAGTGACCTGATGCTCATCTGGCATTTCAGATGTGTATGGTCAGAGAGGAATAGAAATGAAGAACCTGAAAATTGAACCTCAAATACAGCACATGGGAGAAAAACTATTACTGAGGAAGTTATTCTTGAGAAGATATTCTATTGAGAAGAAGGAAAGTTCTTATTGACAATCCTCACTTGTAAAGAGAGGAAGTAAAAGGAAGAACAGGCCTGAGCTGCTCTTCTCTCACCTGTACCTGCCAATTTATCTATGTAACTCTTTACAAAGTGCATGATTATAAAACACTGTACTCAGAAATAACCAACATCTCCTCAGTTCCCATACTCTGGATTGTTCCATCTGCATAAACCTGGATTCTCAGAGCAAGAGAGGGCAATAGAGAGCTATCTTTTAGAGAAATCTGATTAATTCTATAAACCCTAAAAAGTCCCACAGCAAAAGGCCCTCAGCTAAGGAATATGATCTCGAATCCCAGATTTCTTCCCCCAAGTTTATTTAAGGAGCTGATGACAGAATTCAGACACAACTGGCAGGAGACCAAGCAGTCTCTGTGTCATCCCAGAGGATGCTGCAGCTGCAGACTCTCAGGGATGTCTGCCTGGCACCTTGCTCAAGCAGCACTGAAAGGGTCAAAATCACTTTAATGCCTTCACTTTGGGGAGCTGATGTCAGTAAATAAACAGTTTTTAATGGCCTTAGAGTTCATTGAAAACTATGGGAGATTTTAAAACTCTGTTAGAGAGGGAGCATTTCAAAGCACTGAGTGGGAAAGACCAAAATTAATTAACACAACAGGTCACTTGTTTCTTACTGAGACTAAACTGATGGATTTTAACAACATCCAAACTGTCCTGGAATCTTCCAGTTTTACTGCAAAAACACTGTTTTGTGAGCTCTGAGGAAAAGGAAAGCTGGCCTGCCAAGCAGAGGAGTATTTATTAGCTGTCTTCTCTCGATTTTCCCCTGCTATTTCCTTGCTTCCATGACTGATGAAGACATGGAGACATCAGTGTTGCCTTTATATCATCCATTTGTTATTTTCTCTGGTTTCCTGAGCTGCACATATTTTTCTTTTCTGTACTCTGTGATTCCACATCCCATCACACAAACAATCAACACACAGAATTGCACCAAGAAACTCCAGTCAGACCACAAAAAAGGGAAACAATTTTCTGTTTTGAGGGCTAGTCCAGCTTGTGTTTCTATCTATGCAAACCAAGATCTGAGAGGAAATTACTTAATGATACAACTTCCTGGCTCTGTTAATTAAGAGCTAAATTAAATTCCTCCAGCCTGCCTGTTTCCTAAGCACCTCCAAGATCTCTCCAGCAGAGGCAAGTCCTGACCAACCTGGTGTTTCAGAAGCCAAAAAGTCTTTTTAGATCTTTGCTGCACGTGCCAGAATCAGAATGGCAACTCTTGTCCCCTTCTCCTGCCCATGGGTGCATCATCTTCTTGTGTTCATTTTATCAGAAAAACACACTGTTAAACAATAATTTGCCATTTCCTTAGTCCACTTACCATTATAATTCCAGAGAACCAGTTCCAAACTGCTCACCAAGCCCAAGATGAATTAGAGCATGCCATGGATCATGTGTAAAATGAAACAATTTTGCTCAAGAGTAACAAGGATGTTTTTTATTTACACTTGGAAGTAATGCTCCCCTCAACTGAAGTGTTTTCATAGTGTCTCTGTAGTACCATCAAGAAACCTGCACTGTGGAACTGTGTTATTATCAGTTTGGAAAACCCTATCCATCACTTGGAACAACAGAGGTCTGCAGCTCTTTCCATTTTCCCCTCCTGTTTTCCCATCCTGAGCTCACAGACTGCTCCAGAGAGCTGCAGCCTCAGAACCTCAAGGTAGTCGAAGACTGGAGAACACTGAAGTAATTTTACTCCTGTTTTCTGCAGCTCTTTCCATTTTCCCCTCCCAGTGACATCCTGAGCTCACAGACTGCTCCAGAGAGCTGCAGCCTCAGAACCTCAAGGTAGTCGAAGACTGGAGAACACTGAAGTAATTTTACTCCTGTTTTCTCTTGGTCCCCTTATTCCAAAAGAAGTCAGGAAAGAGGGTGGTTGGGAAACTGTGAAGAAAACTGTTTTTTCCATGATATCAGTGAAATAATTCCCACATTCTGAAGGCAGCTCTTACCTTACACTCCTCGTAGTCTCTGCGGACGTAGAGCAGATAAATCAGCCAGTTCTTCCTCTCTAGGATTGGCAGCTCTGGGGCTGTACATGGAAAATATTCACAGAACACAAGGAGTCAGACTGAGCAGCAGAGAATCTGGGAGAGATATTCCCAACCACCCCAACTGCTGCACAAGGCAAGGAATTCAAGATCTGCAATTACAATTAATGATTTGACTTGAAGGCTGGAGTGTGGGCTTCTAAACAGGGCCTGGTTTTATTCTGCTTCTCAAACTCGTGGATAAAACACTTTGTTCAGAATAGATATTAAATAAAAGCTCTAAGCAGAAAACTTCCACCTACTGGAAGGTGGTCTATTGGAAGGTGTCCCTGCCCACGGCACAGGGTTGGAACAAGATGGGTTTTAAGGTCCCAACTCAAACCAGTCTGGGATTCTAAAAGACTTGAGGCATCAGCTCCTCCTGGAGCAGATCCTGAAGTAAACAGCTTCACACACACATTTCAATTCAACACCAACACTGGTTGGAGGAATTGGATCTTTTCAAATACACAAGAAGCAGCTAGGAGGAAATGAGTTGGATTCACATTTTTAATCTAGGGCAAAAGAATCAAAGGTCTTTAAGATGAATTTCTGGGACTGAATGAGCAGGAAACAGTAGATAAACAAAAAAGGAGATTGGAGAGATGGAGTCTGGAGGTGTGAATAATTTAAAGAGGTCAAACTTAGTTCTTTGAGAATCTGTGAAGGGACTACGAAACATCACAGGTCTGAGAGCCTGGAGCTACTGCAGAAAAGCATTTGATGCAGTGGAGGAGGAAGCCTTGTGCTCCAGCATTTCAATGGTGTGCCGCTCGCAGCAGTAATTATGGCAAATCACGGATGGATGTTGCTTAGCGATACCCACGTCGGGTTTACAAGTTGAACACGCTGCTGTGCATTTCATTAAGGCTGCGAATGTATTGCCTGGGACTGGAGTCTCCGTGCCGAGGGGTAACCATGGCAACTGGCCCAAAAGCTCCGTGTTTGCAAGTCAATATTGTGACACGAGCGCAGAGCACAGCCGGGCTGGGGCAGAGCTGGGGGGACACGGCACAGGGACAGCTCCTCCAGCCCTCTGGGGCATGGCACAGACCATGCAAGACCCCTGGACACGCTGGCTCAGCTCCAGCAGCACAGAGCACAGGGGAGATTGGAGCCCAGGGGCCCTTTGCCATCAGAGGTGAAGAAAAACCCTGCAGGGGAAGGGCTGGATCACGGGAGGCAGGTGCCAAGTGGAATTATCTCTTGGAATGGCTGAGCTTTAATCGCCTCTGGAGCACACCAGGCTCTCCCCCATAACCCACATCAAGGCCAGTTTCACTTAGAGCTCCTAAACCCAACATCCTTCAGCTGTTGAATTTGGAAAACATTTCACGAAGCCGTTCTCATTTTCTTGGTTTTTCTTTTTTAAATTCCAGAATATCCAACTAGATTTATATTAGAGCTGAGAATTAAATGTGCACACTAGCAATTTAAGGTCAAATAGCTTCTAAAGAAGGTTCAACTACCCTAAAACAAATAAAAAGCTCACAGTCCAAACAAAAAAGTAATCCAAACACACAAAAGAGTAATCCAAACAAAAGAGTAATGCAAACAGGCTAAGCTTACAGAAATGCACAGAGCAGGGATCCAAACATTTCTGAATTCTGCTCTGCTGTGGAGTACCTGGATCTTGGTAAGTAAGGCATTTTAACAAGCGTGTTCCCAGATCAGATTAATTGATTTCTGATAGCTTTATGATTTGTCCTTCTTAGAGTTAAAGGATGAAGGGAAGAGTCAAGAGGCTGCCTAAATGCCACAAATTGATTGAAACCCCACTATTTCACATCTGAAGCCCATTCAGGGGCGACCTATTTCATTAACACTCTGTAATTGCTCCCCTGTGCAGGTTATTATTACCAGTGCCAGGGTGTGACAGAAACACAGCACCTGGGGATGCTGGAAATGCTCTGCCCCATCCCTGGGAGTGTCCAAGGCAGCCTGGATGGGGCTTGGAGCACCCTGAAATGGTGGAAGATGTCCCTCCCCATGGCAAGGGGTGGGAGCAGATGGGTTTTAAGGTCCCTTCCAGCCCAAACCAGTCTGGGATTCTATAAAAGCAGCTGGGCTTGTGTGCCCTTCCTGCCTGGCATCTCCTGGTGCCACTATCTGATATAAAACACCAACCCTGACCCACCTGGGCACTTCCCACCTTCTTTTGTGAGTAGGGATTTAAGGACAGACACTGCAAATTCTATGTATCCATCAACACTCAGAACTGAAGTATCCTTCACCATTTTGTGCCTCAAATTAGAAAACCCTGCAGCTGTCTCAAATAGGGAATAGTCAAAAGAACTCCAGACACACCCCCCCCAGGTCTCCAACCATCTGTTCATGCCTTATTGGGAAGACAAAAAGTACCATTAAAGGTTAAAACATACACCAATGTTGTGGGCTAAGCTAAGATGCCAGTACACCGAGAGGGGACGGAGGATTGCTTGTTTAATTCCTGAAGGAAAGAGCTTTTTCACACTTAGGAGACAAGAAGGATATTATACTCCACTCCCACGCCATGGAAACGCCTGCTGGGAACAGGGATGGGAAGGAAGAAATGCTGAACATCAGACTGAGGGCTGAGCAGAAAATCAGGCTGCAAAGAGGAAGGGGAAACCCAAGGAGTTGCCTGAAAGTGCTGGGATGGAGAGAAAATGGAGAAATGAAAAGGTTTATCTGACATGTGCAGATAAACCAGCTCTGCTTCCCCCAGGGATGCACCTGTGAGCTAAGGAAAACTGTGACTGGGAAAACACAGGGAGATTTTATGCTCCTTAAAGTCATTTGGAAATAGCAACAAGGCTGACTGAGGAGACGCGAATCACTCTTTTTCTTCTTTCTCCCTAAAGCAAGCAAATTGAAAGCAGGCAAACAATTCTGATGTTTTTCAAAATCTATGTCTAAATTCATGATTAAATTTGACACAGGAACATATCTGATCCCCCCAAAAATGGCTGTGGTAAGTAAAGGATTATTACCAGGCTCTATGCTCTATTCAGATGCAGAAAGAATTAACAGAAATTATTTATACACCTCTCCAGAACCACAACCACTCAATCTGCATTTCTGCTTTCCCACAAAGCAGTGGACAGCTGCTCCTGGGTATTTATCTCCCTCAGGTTTGCTCCCCCAGCCTGCTGATAAGGGCTGTCACAGTGCAATGGGTCACTGTGTTCTCCTGAAGAAAATGGAAATACAAATGCCTGGCTATTTGGGCCTCTAGCTCCAGAGAAAGGGAAAAAAACACCTTTTTCAATAGATGGGCCTTCAGGATTTTCTCCTAAGTCACTGCTGTATGAAGACACACTTTTCTTTGTCACCTCTAGCAATAATCCCAAGCACTGCACAGGCACAGGTTGGAAAAGTGTGGTTTAGATGCTTCTAGCAGTGAAGAAACAAAAAACCATTATTTGCTGTAAATCAATCTGCCCAAAGGCCAGCCCAGGAAAACACAATCATCAAAGAACTTGCTACCTACATCAAAAAGAGTTTATAACTTGCATAATTGTCTTTCAGCTTCTCTTTTGTGGGACTACAAAAGTCCTGTGCCAGGGAGTCAGCCACCAAAAATATGATTAAATGCCTTTGAAGTGTGTTTTGATTGAATTCAAAAGGGAATCCATCTGATCCCCTCGCTGGCCAGTGATTGATTGCACGAGCCACTTCCAGCAATGTGATTTTTCTTTCTGACAATGCTCCTCTAAGGAAGCCACTGGAGCAGAAACCCTGACAGAATCAGAGTAAGATCATCAGGTTTGTATCTGTGCTGCTCTATCATCACTCTTCCCTTTATTCCTCCTCTTATAGATTTTCTCAGAGGACTGGAAAAAATAATAATGAGTTATTCCCTTTTGTGTAAACCTCCCTAGGAAATTATTTTGTGCTTGCATCTTCATATTGGGTAATTATAGCTTAGGGATGAACTATCAACAGTAGGGTTTAGATTTAATAAAAGGGCTTTAAATTGCTGTAAAAAGAAGAGGGGGAAAAGGCCCCAGAAACTCTTATGAGATTTTGTGGGGGAAATGATTGCTAAAGCACCAGCAGTAAGAAGTGGCTCAAGAAAAAGTTTTAGCCATCTCAGAGGGAAAAAAAATAGTTCAGAGCCCAGCCCCCCTTCCAATCCAGATGATTGGAAAGGGTCCAAGCCCCAGTTCACCCCTTCCAGCTCTGAACCTAACCTGAGCAGCCTGAGCAAGAGCAGCAAAGGGGCAAAAGACTCAAGCAGACACAAAGAACTTGTTATTGCCCAAAACCCCTAATAACCTAAAGCACACATAATATATAGCACAAAGAAAGGACAGAAAAGCTTTGCAAAGGCAGTTAAATGGAAGTATTTTTCATTTTTTTATTCTGCAGTAGCTTCATGAGCCACAGCCTGGATCCATTGTGGTAGGTACCATGTATGTGGGAAAGATTTTCCATAAGAATTCAGCTCTCCTTTTCCAAATTCTAATTCAAAATTCCATGTTGCAAAACAGCATCATCCAAGAACAGAGATATTTTCAAAACTAACAATCACCCAGGCAGTGCCTCAATTCTCTATTGTGACATTTTGATACTGAGGCAGCAGAAGCACAAAAGAATTTCATAAAGTGAATCTCAGAATCACAGGATGGTTTGGGCTGGAAGGACCTTAAAGATAATCAAGTCCGAGACACCTTCCACCATCCCAGGTGCTCCAGGCCCCATCCAACCTGGCCTGGGGCACTGCCAGGGATCCGGGGGCAGCCACAGCTGCTCTGGGCACCCTGTGCCAGGGCCTCCCCATCCTCACAGCCAGGAATTCCTTCCCAATATCTATGTCTAAATTCATTATTAAATTTGACACAGGAACATATCTGATCCCCCCAAAAACGGCTGTTGGAAGTAAAGGATTATTACCAGGCTCTGTGCTCTATTCAGATGCAGAAAGAATTAATGGAAATTATTTATACACCTCTCCAGAACCACAACATCTTAATCTACAAGCCCTGTCCAACCTGGCCTTGGGCACTTCCAGGGATGC